GGTTTCCCTCTCGAAACGGTGGACCTCGATGGCGTGAGGGAAGATCCACGGGTGTCGAGACGGTATCCGACACGCCGCAACGAACGAGACGACCGAAAGACGAGTTTCGAGGTGGACGAGAGAACTGGAGACATCGACACGCGTAACAAGCCACTCCGAGTACTTTCGCACGATATTCGTATAGTAAATGGCTACTATCTAATACTTTAATTCGAAGAGGTCAAAAGCTGCGGTGCTGGTGGTGGTCGTGGCTGTCACCCCCAACGCGCGGGCCTACGATGCTATGCCATTCTGGATCATATGCTAGGCCATCCACCGCTCAAAGCGCCAGGTCCATGAAGCTATGCTATTCTAGGCCATAGGCTTGGCCATCCAACGCACTGAGCGCCAGGTCCATCGAGCTATGTCAGTTTGAGCCATAGGCTGTGGCTCATTCTATTATTTCCATAAGCTTCATACTTAGCTGTGTCAATCATAGGGTGCTACTAGCTGAATGCGTGTCACGTATTCAGTGATCGACTGCAAGTTCTTCATTTGAGTACATTCTTTGCTGAAGTGTTTTTTTTTTTCGTTAGGTCAGGCTCTCGCCATCGCTTCCATGCAATAGTTTTCTGTTTGCGTTTCATTTCATCACCGATTTGAGTTCCCATGATTGAAGTCAAAATAGTCTAAAACGTCTGTTTCATATGTCGCGCGAACGAGGTGCACCTCCCATCAACATGGTGGCGATTTTTGCGAGGTGAGGTTGAACGCGAAGAAGAAATGTCGAAGGAGGTCCCACAGGACGGCGATGAGGCAGTTGTTGCTGATAAAAAACGGTTGGTGCCGGCGCGGAAACAAAGTTTGCCACTGCAGTTGCGGTGCGAAGTGCCTAAATCGGTGCTAGCCGTAATGACTAGAATCAGTGATGAACAGCAAGCAGATGTAAGTAGGGAGCTTAGGGCCGCTCAGACCGCTGAACGGCAAGAGGCAGCGAGTGCTGAGTTCTGGAATAGGAGAGCCGTGCAGCCAGCTAAGCAACTTGATGCAAGGTTTGGATTTTCAGGAATTAGTCTTTAGCATTGTGCCGCACATGCACTAACATCCCTCTGTGCCGTCGAACAAGTTCTTGGAAACGGTCCGTACTGTTTCAGAATCATTGGTGTCTGTACTATACGCTAACGCTAATAGCCGATGAGCTAATCGGTGATGCAAGATGGAAACGGTCCGTACTGTTTCAGAATCATTGGTGTCTGTACCATACGCTAACGCTAATAGCCGATGAGCTAATCGGTGATGCAAGAGTGTTGAATGTGTTCGGAAGACGAAATCAGCAATGTCGTCTTGAGTTTCATGAAAACGTGCTAAACCAAAGCGTTCACAGTGGTGATTGTGGCAATCAGCTCGAATATCATGATGGCGGTGTTTAGGAACAGAATCTCCCAGACAATGTAATGAAGCGGTTCAGTTCCTAATGGATAATGAGGTGAATAGAGGATTGTCAAGGAGACGTTATGGTCACAATAGACGATTCAAATTTCCACCTATTAGATAGCCAGCGTTGCGGCCGCAGGCCGCTAGTACAATTTATTATATAGACTAGCGGTCTGCAGCAGCTACGCTGGCCGTCTCATGGGCGGACATTTGGAAATGTTTGTATGATGATATGGCGCAGTTCGGTTCAAACCAAACATTGAATATTTCCAAACAAACCTCGAGATGTTTGAGAAGTTTGTAAGTGTCGTCGTCCAGCTAACTTCATAATCATCGAGGCCACAACTCACCAATAAATCACGAATGGAAAAGAACATTTCAAATAAATTTCAAATTCGGAGTAAATCCGTCTTCACTATCAAATATGAATGCGCACTCCTTGGGACCAGTGGGAGAGTTGTAGCGCCTTCGGTTATCGAAATCAAAACGCATGAACAGCCATCTAATATCTTGCAACTGACCACCCTCACGCCTCTTTCTCGCCTCTCCTAACCGCCTATAATGCGCAGCGTATGGATCGACTGTTCGCAGCACGAGGTCGGGTGCCAGCATAACTTCTGCGTGACACTCTGTCGATTGCACTTCCCATTTGGAACTCAACCGCCTCATCACAATAATACGCATACAGCTGACCGTACACGAATATTTTGTTCCTGAACACCATCATCACGATACTCAAGCTCGTTGCCACTATCACCATTGTGAACGTCTCGGTTTTTACCGGTTTTCAAGAGGCTCGGGACGGTTTTCCAAGTGTTGTCGTTCGAGCACATTCGATACTCGATTTCGATGCTCGTGTACCATATGGTCTCCACTGCCCTAGAGCAAATCGGTGATGCAAATCATCACTGATTTTGAAACAATACTGACCATTTCCACGAACTTGCTCGACTTTAGCGCCGAAGGAAGCACACGCATACTCGGAACAGCACTGACGAATAGTCTTGAAAAGGCCTCGCCGCCTGTGAGCAACATTTTCAGAGCCTCAGGGTAAAGTGTGAGTGGCGACAGGAATATCTTTCCGTTGAGGCAGCAACTGTGAAGCAAATGTCCCCTTTCTGCAGTAAAATGAACAGTTTGACAACGCTCGTTGCAGCATACTACAGTCATTCCATCCAAGTCATAAAGCTGGGCTGGAGCAGTGTCAGAGGTAGCCACAACAGTTGTTCGTTCGAGAGTAGGTCGAGCTGGACGACTGCACGCAGCGCTCCTTGCCTCAAGTTGCTCAACAGGCTGAGAGGATCTCCTATTCCTGCGCTCAGCATTTGCTGCCTCCTACTGTTCCCGCTGTCTGCACGGCCCTACGTTCCCTACGTGCAGCAATCGCTGCTGCGCTCTGTTCACCACTCATTCTAACACAAAGACCACCAGGGCTAACAGTTCCTAAACCACCTTTTTTGGCAGTTTGCATCGCAACTGCGGTGGCAAATGCGTTTTCCGTGCCAACATCGTTTCATCTGCGGCGACTGCCTCATCGCCGTCCTGTGCGGCCTCCACGAACATGTTTTATTGGCATTTAACCACACCGCTGCAAAATTGGTCCGCGTAAAAGTTGACAGGACCGGCCCATGCGCGACATGTGAAACAAAGGGTTTACACTATTTTTTATTTCCTCAATCGGTAAAACCTCCCTAAAAAATGTCATGACAAAAACGCAAACAGAAAGGCATTGCATGTTTGCGACAGCGCGATGGACCACTCCTGATCTAAAAAATGAACTCATAGAGAAACAATGAATCAACAACTAATATATCCAATTGGAGAACCTGCTGTTGGTTGGTGCAAACGCGATAAGCATTCATAGTGAACTGTGTCAATCAATAACTGGGCACCAATAAATACGAGGCTTATGCAGCTAAGACGCCATTATCTGTTGTCCAGAATGACAGAGCCTTGTAGGTTTGGCGCTTTAGGCCGCTGATGGCCTGGCCTATGCCCTAGAATGGCATAGCATCGTAGGCCATCGTAGGCGTTAGAAGTGACAGCCAGCATCACTTTCGACCTCTTTCAATATAAGTATTAGATTTGATGTATGTATGCATGGATGGTGGATGAGTCCTCGATAAGTAGCAATAGCAAACAAAATTTGGAAATTCTCCTCTCTTTGCATGTCGACCCTTTTAGACACATAATCCATTAACGACCAACCTTGCATCCTTCCAGTCAATGATTCAGGCCAGTGTCGTGCATGAATACGAACATTTTTCAATTGGAAGTCGAAAATAATTTAATTGCACTTTCCCGCCGCACGTTCGGATGTGCGACTGCCAACGTATGGTTGAAATTAAAAGCGATTTTATGCTTACGAGTTTGGCAGACCACAATTTACATTTTCATTGTTTCGTGGGATACCTTGAGCTTCTTGCTTCGGGTCAGACTGGGAGAGAGTACAATATTAGGCTGGGATCATGGATGTCCGTATTTAAATGGATCATCACTGTTGTAGTCATTAGTGTTATTTTTCATCGTTGAGCATTCCCCCTTGCCCCTTCCTCCACTGAGCACCCTCTGTCAACTGGAAGTGGGGGTGGGGAAGTGAAGACACATCGGCAACATGCCTACGGAACTACTGGTAATATGGCTAGCGCCAGTCCTGTTCCATTCAGAAAAAAAAGTGAAAACGGGCCTACCGTTTTAGAGTCGGACTAAGAAGTTTGGCTGCCTTTCAAATTTTCGGGTAGGGTGAGGGTGTGAACTCCAATCGAAGCGATAAGGCCCTGCTGACATAACCTCACTGCAAACTCATAAGGTCTCATGAGACCTCACGACTTTCTCATGAGGTTGTCCGAATATCTCATGAGAAGAAACCTCATGAGGATCTCATGAAGTTTCTTCTGCAGTGCACAACCGACGCGAGATGGGGACTGCATAGCCACTCTGATGGGATGAATGTCCTGATCTCACTGGAACATCTATCCTGTATTCACCAAGTTGTATGCATTTTTAATTTCTATATTGAACATAATCAAAGATATTTGATTTTCTAAAAACACTTGTCCGAAGATATAGCCCAGCTTAGGAAGACTTCAGTCAATGCTGGCCTAAAAGATGGAATGACATATTGAGGATGGAATAAATGGCAGTTGTCTAACCGTATATGTTCTTTCGTATATGGTTACTTCTCTTTTAAGGATTCACGGGACCTTCCAAGGTGAGTCGCAAGAGACTATTCGTGGCTATTGGGCCACGAGGAAAGTGGCGCTTCTATGCGGAAACCCCATGAAGTCAGCCTCATGATATATCTGTTTCAGACCTTATGAGGTCATTCTCATGAGACCTCTGTCCGAAAACCTCATGAGAATCTCATGAGGTTTTCATTTTGAGATTACATGAGGTTTTTTCAGCAAGGGGTCAGGGTCCGAAAAATGGGCCCATGCAGGATCTTACTTAGCAGATATTTAAAGAAAACGTCTGGGAGTCGGGAGTGCAGTGTGAAAATATGTTTATGAAGGATTATAATCCATAAGCTCTGCACGCGCTTAGTCAGACGGAATTCGAATGTACGTATAACCCAATATATGCATTACCTAATTAAAGAAATGACTGAAGCAGATGAAAATCGATTGTGGTTTGGGAGACAACGCCGGAATCCCACGTTTCCTTGCACGATTCCATCTTCAGACCAGAAAGCCTGCAAGAGGATAAAAATTAACGTCTCACTTTGCACAATGTACAGACTGTTTTTAACTTAATTATTACGATTATGTTGAATAATCATTTGATATAGATGCCTGATGATGTAGTCTAGTGAAAAGTGGTTCATCAGTTCCTTTCGCGGTGAATATATGAAAATCTGGAGCAAAATCTGTAATGTTAAACGTTCTTGTGCAAGTAATAACACTGCAATTATGCCGATTCCCGGTTCAGAAATGACGAAGGCTTCACTTTCACCACACTACTACCCACCGAGAAAATTTTGGCATTGAATGAAGTGCTGAGGTGGAGTTGTCATCTGGGATATCATGGAAATATACCTAATGAATTAACTTTGAGATTTCCTCAAATGATCCTTGAAACTAAACGCCATGCAATGTTTTATTACGAAGTTCTTTTTAGGTTCTAAAATATAGTACCACAGAAATATGCCGAGACTTTTTCTAAAATGTCGAAAATAAGGGAATTCAATGACAGATGCCCATCCGCTTATTTTGCAAATAAGGACATGTACTCACATGGATAGACACACCTGAAAGAAAAACTTCCTCCCTGCCTTAAAATGAGCGGCGTTTCAACAGGTCACCTGCAAAGAGGAATGAGGATGTGGGTATAATAATTATAATGGCCGTGAGGGGGAAACAAGATTCCCAGGAAACCTCTTCACAGCGCTTCCTTTGGAGCTCCAAGTTAGCCAAGCCAGAGTGGCTTTTGATGATTAAAACATTGGTAACTATGGAATTGAACAACATAGAATGTTCTGAGAGAACTTAACCAAGGTCGTGTTCGGCAAATTCGGCACCGGGAAGGGTGGATTCGCAACCTAAACCTCAAAATGATATTTAATGGTGTGGACAGTCTGTAACCAATTTCTCTCAGGAAAGAATGAGGGATTCCAAATCCTGATCTGGATCTTTGGGGGATCCAGCAATTAATGTTCTGTAGATCAGTTGCAGGGTTTACCATGGCGAACCCTAGTATGGACATTAGGGTAAGTGAGATAATTTCCAACCACCAAAAGAGTTTCTCCCTAATCCCTAAAAAAACCAACTAGGTAAACATGTGTTGATTATTTCAACACAATTGCCCTGGGACCTGTACCATTATGTAGAACAATGAGCACACTGTCCATTCACGTTTTTAGACTGGAAAGGGTAGAATTTAGTTGAAAAGGCTGTTCGGACTTCTTGCTTTGTGGAATTTTGCAATGAGGTGGCGAACTTCATAGAAGGGTCGGAGTTTGTCTAGTCATTTTGGAGTGTATCAATGAGCTTCCTCTGTTGTTACTCCTGGAAACCGTTGGTCATGATACCGCGCTTGAAGAAAAAGATTATACAATTTGAGCCGTAGTTTATGAATGCATATGAATGCGTATGAATGACGAATTGTTTTGTCATGTGGTTTTTGTCATCTATCCTAATATCTGTCCCCATCAGCATTATGTCCAAATTCCCATTGAGTCTAAAATTCTACTACTCAGTTGCTAATCATTCATGAATGCATAAACATTTGAGCTTACCTATTTCCTAGTGCATTTTCTTAAACGTGGAGCAATATTTACGCATTGGTGGATATAGGTGAAATGAGATTGATGTAGAGAAAGAAAGGATTTTACTCATACCTGGGCTGAGGGGAGGTAATCCTGCCAATACTCGGTCCAATTCCCACAATATGAGAGACGTATGTTGGTAGAAAAACACAGGAACTTTCCATCGAAAGAAGATTTTCCCCATATTCTTCACGTTAGAAGGTATCTGGCGGTCCCCATACACTGGAGGCAACTTCTCAACATATATCCACGGGGCGTTCTTTTGCACTAAGGGGGAGGAATGAATACAAAAAATCGATGGTGGAGATAGGGGGCAATAATATAAAACGTTATCAGCACAGAACTAGTTTTCCATTGTCTCCTAGGCTAGTGAACCCGCAAAAATTATGTCTGAAGCAAAAAAACATTCAATTTCGAACTGAATTACAAAAACTCCTTTCCAAGATGAAGCTTTTTCCTGTGTACTTTTTCCATGAATAATATTCTGCTATTATGCAGAGATGCCTTGTGACTAGAGGAGCAACAGGAGTACCGATATCGAAAGTCTCGCTTCCTTTTCTTCCCTCCTGCGGGGAAGTATGGGATGGGAATGAAGGCTTTTAGAGCAGGGAGGTAGAGGAATTGAATGTCAAAGGAAGAAGCTAGATCATGAGGACATTCCTGCATCAAGCAGGAGGGAAAGAACAGGGGAGCATGAAAGGAAAGGTCACATAAAGCAAATGGATGTCATGTCGGACCCGTTGACCTGCTTTATTTTCCCTCATTTTCCATGAGGAGTATCGTCACGCCCATCCACCCCCCATCCTCACCCCCTAGTAAGTCTGGGACCTGTCTTTGATGGGATGAATTTCCTTACATCAGACAAGCAGAAAATAAACCAAGGAATTCTCATTTTACTGAAGGAATTTCCCTCTTTTCGGAAATACAGGGACCAGAAAAGAAGTGGGAGAATCAGGGAAAATGGGAATAGGGAAAAATCAATAATCGCCGAAGCGCCTATTACCTTTCATCAACCCCTTCTCGCAGCAAAATTCAACATTTTCGTATTCTCCTAAAAGAGACTCAACATGAAACTAAATGTCGCATGCTTCTTCCTCTTTCAACTCAGAATCGCTGCAGCAAATTGGAATTTCTATCTCTTTGGGGTTATTGAGAACACTGCTTCTCGTTTTATGAATATGTGAACTTCATTTGATATATTTAATTTGTTAATTTGTTGATATTTTAATTTCTCTCCCCGACCCCCCGACCGGGGGAAAGATCAACCAAATGAAGATATTGACTTGTAGGTGACGAAAAGTGCCATTTTTAGCGTTTGCGGTGCACCATTTTCCATTAAAAGTGCAATTAGCTGTCATTGTTTTAGGCTTAACATGATGGCTCCGATCTTGTCCCCATTGTTACCGGATATCGTGCCGGAATATTGTCAGATTCATCACTTCTTCGGCCCTAGTATCGGTGTGTGGATCTTCTGTCTTTTTTTTGTATGATACATTATTGTGCTGATTTCATGAGATAAACTAAGGTTGAAACGGTGGGTGGCAGTGGCCGATCGATCCAGATATCTAATCTTATCCAGATATCTAATATATAAGGGTAGCCCAAATGAAAGTGGGACTGCTGTCGGTTTGACAAATGGTTTAATGGTATCGGTGTGGTAGGTTTACAGGATAAAGAGTGATACATGAGGAACATAATGGCTATACATAGTTGCC